TAATATGTTAATTAATAAGAGAAATCTGCACTTCCATTTTTAATAAAGGAATCCAGATTTCAGCCTCTGGAACAAAGTGAATAAAAGAAATCTAGGCCGTGGGGGAGCCAATGTCCCTGGGCTATTCCTGTTTTTCTCCAGTTTTTCCTAGCTCCACTCCTGACACCTTGCAATCACTGCTGCTAATTCTGTACGGGTGCCCCACACTCTGTATTGGCACTTCAGATGAAGATGAAATACAGAAAGCGGTTTCCATTTTCATTTGTGCTGCAGTAACTCACCTAGCTCGGTTTTCCCCTTGGTCTACTGGAAGGTTCTAATGGCTCTCCCGGAAAGGGAGTTTGGGAGAGTTAGCCTCACTCCTATCCTCCACACTCCATAAAGCAGCTCGACTCTCTAGTCAGTTTCAGCCTGACTAGTTTCAGCCTGACTTCTTTCCCAACATTTGACTCCTGCTCAATGTCATGAGAGATCTGTCCCCTGGGCTGTATAGTCATAGCCACATGAGAGGCAGGAGATGGTGGGGGTGATCTGCTGCCACAGGAAACTGCCTAGTGGCCCAGGCACCGGGACGAATTGTCTGACCTTTTGGTGGTAAAGGAGTGGGGTGTCCACCTTGGGAATGTTCCCACTGGGAGCTCTGTGCTGATGAAGAAGGGACTTTCTCACACTTTAAATGAATTCTTGAAGAGGGGAGAGTCTGCTTTGCCTACACGCTGAACTCATACAAGTCATGCTGATTCATACAAGTCACAGTCTTTTTTACAAGGGGTAGTTTAGATCACAAAGAGATATATTAACTAATCTTCAGCGTTACCACTGCATGGTGGTTGCTGATCCAGAAAAAAATACCTAATCTACTATTCGGTCAGTCGTATAATCTTTCCAGGAAACAAAAGCAATTTAATTTAATTTAATTGATTTAAAAGGCAGAGGCTCAGGTATTCCAGATTTTCTTGCTTCTTATATCTATCCATTGAACATTCATGTATTTGTTCATTTATTTATTGTGCATTATTTGTTCAATCCCTTCTCTATGGGTACATGGCAAGAAACCCATGAATAAAAGCCCCAGTGAAGGGCTTTCAACTGTTTGGTGAGCCAAGAAATTCATACATGGAGAAAGAGAGAGAATAATTACAACAGTAAATAAAGCACTAAAAATATATGTAGTCTTTCAAAAGGAAAGACTATATATATTTTTTTATTTAATTATAGGAACATGTTGCTATAACATATAGAATAACTAATTCTAAGCAGTATCTCTAACAATTTTTTAGAGAGATTGTTTAGAGCAAATAACTCCCAAACTAGTAGTGCCAGAATCTCAGGACCCTGGGGGAGTAGTGATAGAATGTGTGTGTGTTTGTGTGTGTTTGTGTGTGTGTGTGTGTGTGTGTGTGTGTGGCAGAAAGAGAGAGAGAGATAAACGAGAGAGAGAGAGATCCAAAGTAAGTCATAAGTCAGCCTTGGCTGAATATGTCTAACCAGCACAGTGTCATCTACAATCAATAAAAACCCCTTATTAATATTATTTATGAAATAATACTCTTCCAGCTATGATGAACGAAAAAGGAAAATGGAAAAAGACTATCCAAAGTATACTGAAGAGGAATTTTCAGGAGTTAATGGCCAAATAGATGCTGCTGTGGAATTGAATGGTGAGTGTTTCCACCAAAAACTTTCTTTGAGGAAATTATAACAAGAAGTCTGAGCTCTGCTTTAACATAACAGAAAATGGGTTTCCAAATAGGAGTCATTGGTTCTTATTTTTGGTCATGAGTCCCTTATCAATTTAGCTAACCAGATTAACCACTAGAAGGAATAAGTATAAAACATTTGCCATTATGTCTCTCTTTGCAAATGAAAGGTTTAAAAATATAGCTTCAATTCATTAGTGAACCACATCATCAAGTCCACCGAAGTTAAAGTTACCTTTTTCATCTTTAAAATACACATATTTTCGGGCCAGCCCCATGGCTTAGCGGTTAAGTGCACGCGCTCCGATACTGGCGGCCTGGGTTCGGGTCCCGGGCGCGCGCCCCGCCTCTCCGGCCATGCTGAGGCTGCATCCCACATACAGCAACTAGAAGGATGTGCAGCTATGACATACAACTATCTATTGAGGCTTTGGGGAGAAGTAAAAAAAAAAAAAGGAGGAGGACTGGCAATAGATGTTAGCTCAGAGCCAGTCTTCCTCAGCAAAAAGAGGAGGATTAGCATGGATGTTAGCTCAGGGCTGATCTTCCTCACAAAAAAAAATAATAGTAAAATAAAATAAAATGCACATATTTTCAACCTTCCCAGTGCTTTTCCCCATTTCATCACTCAACTCTGAAAATTAACACGTAGCTGGGAATGTTGAATGGAAATGAACTGGGTTGAATAAATTTAATCGAATCTTTTGAATCAGTCAACACAGTTTTCTTGAGTATATAGCACAGAGCTGGACACTGTTCAGAAATGCGAAGACAGTTCCAGATATGGTCTCTGCTCTTGGAATGGTTAAGTCTTTGGGAAATACCTCTCCATCCAACACAGATGAAATTACTAGAAAGCAAGACAATCTGTAATTTATGTTGAATTGTGTGATAGTCTTCACAATAATTGCAAGAGGTGATCTGAGAAAAAAAAAAGATCAGAACCAGCATCAGTAGTTGGAAATTTCATGGTGGAGTTTCAAGGTTTTGAAGAATGGCTAGAGGTTTGACCAGAGAAAGAAATGGGGAGGGGATTTCCAGGAAGGGACAGCCCGGGCAGAAGCACTAAGCATAATTTAGCTTGACCTATTGGATGACCCCAGGGAGGAGGCTGTACCCTGGCTAGAACAGAGAGAAAGATGGGAGATGATTGAGAAGTTGAAGGTGTTAGGCTTTAGGGCTTGGTGAGAGTTGTGCAGAGGACTAGCTAACTTCCACTTGACAAATTCCCAATTCCCCTTTGGTACCACCTCAAGAAAGTGAAAATTACAATCCTCCCATTTATATATTTGCAAGTCATTTTCAGTAACCACAATTTCAACTTGTCTCTTTTAGGCTACATTTACTTCTTTTCAGGACCAAAAGCATACAAGTATGATACAGAGAAGGAAGATGTGGTTAGTGTGCTGAAATCTAGTTCCTGGATCGGCTGCTAAATAGAGAAGTCTAGTCTTTCTTAAGGTATGAAGATGACTGCAAGCAGCTGGTAACTGGATCTTTAAGGACTAAAGCAGAATGTAGGATAGGGATTCTTCCCATGGCCTTCAATTCTAAGGACAATTTAGAGTTCATTGAAAATAACTATGCTTCTAAATTTTTTCATAGTTGTGGAGTCAGAATTTTAATCCAAATGGGAAATTCCTATATGGTCAACTTTACACAAAATCACAGTCAACACAATGCACTCTTCAGTTAGACGTCCATTTTTTTCTTTCTTACCTAATATACTAAAGCAAATTGATGTTTGGTTTTTATTTCTGGAAAAAAGCCTACTTGTGGCTTCCCTAACATGTATTATAATTCTTTTAATAAGAAATGTCGTTATCTTACAAATTATAATTATTCTTTACAAGTAGTGGCTTTTGTGGCCTTAACAGTTGTTATGATGAATATAAATTTATCCATCTTTACTTAAAACATATCACAAACAAAATACTGTGCAAGTTTTGTTTCTCATTGTTTATTTGTTTGTTTAACTCTATATGTGCTCACTGGTCTTTGAAGTAGGTTATGGTGGGCAAACCTTTTCAAATAAATTTTCATACTAGGCAAGAGATGGGCCCTTGGCAACAGGAAAACTTTTAACAAAAGCCAACAGAAATGTTGCGTAAGAGCAATTCCTCATTTCTCTTTTCAGTTAATATTTACTAGCTTCTGTCACATTTTATTTGGCAACAAATTCTACGTGCCAATAGAAAACTCAGACCTTGAGATGGTATCGTGAGTATGCAGACCCAGAAGAAATAATAGTAATTCACTCTATTTCCTGCTTTATTGAGGACAATAAAATGCTCTCAATGAAACTATCTTTAATCCATCTAAGTCAGTCTCTTCTGAATCGTTTTCCATTTAGGGAAGTTCATCTTTTGTTTTAGTTTTTCCTACTTCAAGCTAAACTTTTTTTTCCTACCTAGTCATCAGTACAGATAAAATACAACTGTCTGTCATTCTTATGATAGTTTTTTAATCTTATCCTCTAGAATGTAAGGATTCTAAAACATTTTAGTGGGTCTAAAATTAGATGACAAAATACATTTAACATATTTCATAGACTGCCTGGAACATCTACAGTGTTCAACAGATGTTAGCTATTATTGTTACTATCATTTATTAAATTTGTTTCGTACACTCACTAAATAGACTTAGCATTAAGAAGGGGTGGGGCAGTTAGTCAAGGTTACTCTAAGCTTTCCATTTGGTTTCTGTTACTGAAAGTGGCTATTTACAGCCAATCAGATGTTGAATCTTTGCTAAAGACAAAGTCTAGTATGCTTGCTTTCCAATGTCAAATGCCTCTATAGAGTAAGGAAAGTCACTTTTGCAAAAATAGCTGAGGAGAACTTCTTAATATCAGTAAGCAAGGAGGGAAAACAATCTGGCAGTTCCTCAAAAGGCTAAATGTAGAGTTACCACGTAACCCAGCAATTCCACTTCCGGGTGTATACCTGTGAGAAATGAAAACATATCCACACAAAAAAGGTGCACACAAATGTTCATAGCAGCATTATTCATAATAGCCAAAAAGTGGAAACATGTCCCTCAAACGATGAGGGGATTTTTAAAAACGTAGTAAATTCATACAATGGAATATTATTCAGCAATTTTAAAAAAAGAAGGACTAATACAAGGTACAACGTGGAGGAACCTTGAAAACATTACACTAAGTGAAAGAAGCCAGGCACAGAAGACCACATTCGTATGATTCTATTTATATGAAATGTTCAGAATAGGAAAATCCATAGAGACAGAAAGCTGACTGGTGCTTATCAAGAATTGGAGGGAGGGGGAATGGGAGGCAACTGCTAATGAGTATGGAATTTCTTTGTGTGGTGATAAAAATATTCTAGAAGTGATGATGGTGATAGTTGCACAACTCTGTGAATATACTAAAAGACATTAAATTGTACACTTTAAGTGGATGAATTGTATGGTATGTGAATTATATCTCAATAAACTTGTTATATTAAAAAACGAATAAGCAAGGAGATCAAGGAGGTATGATGATCTGTGCAGGTCGTGCAGTCTAGTCAATTGTGGCAGGAACCACATGGCAGCAAAGCGTCAGTCTGAAGACATCTGGTGCTGAGCAGAACCAGCCAGATGTCCTGCTTGTGTCCAGTGCTAGCCCAGGGCATGCATGTCATAGACACTTCACTGAATAAATGAATGTTTGTGCTCTGAGTTCTGACTGATCCAGACCTGCTAGTTTTAGCTCTGTGATGTTAGTTAAATTCCCTAATTTCTGTCTCAGTTTCCTCCTTTGTCAGATTAGAATAGAAAGAGTCCTTACCTCCTAGGCATATTTGGAGGCTTAAATATATGAGGCAAAATATGTAAAGCTCTTAGGTAGTCCCTGTTACCCTATAGGAGCTCTGTAGTTGTGTTTGAAGCAATTAGAATTAATTTTGTTTTGAGATATTTTGGAGAATTTGTGTATATCCCTTGAGATAGGTGTACACGTGATGAGCTGTAGCACCACAAGGATTGATAACCAGTGACCTGAAATTTTTCCTTTCCAAATTGCAAATTAAATCAATAATTAAATAACATACTGACTGTGGTTAACCCCCATTCCGCAAAAATAATTCTTACAAATCACATTCCTTTGCTGAGCGAGAGAACTCCTGGCTCCCAGATTTTGTTGTATGTATTTTGGAAAGACACAGTCTCTCTAAAGCACAAGAAATAGTGATTGTGTTTGTGTCAAAACTCAATCAGAACATTTGTGTGCTCATTTGAAACAAGAATTTTGTGCAGAAATAATTTATAACATACACTCCTCCTTGGCTTCAGAGTAACTGAGTGCAAAAATATTTTGTTAAATAATAATTTTGAACAAAGTATGGTTCGACTGCTACTTTGGGATCAAGAAGAAACAGAACGGAGTTTGCTTTCTGATGACCTCTGTGTATTGTCCTATTAACCTCAGTGATAACTATTGATGGGCAGTCCAGAAGCCCTTGGAAAGGGCACCAGAAAGGCTACTAAAGGAGAATGGATTCACCTGAGGTGCGCAGGGGTGGGGGGCATGAGGGAGCTTCCCTAACAGGTCTGCATTAAATTTTCTGTGGCTGGAACCAAGCTCGCTTCCATTTAGCCTGGTATGAATTGGCAGACCCAGCTTTGTCTGTTGAGCCCTCTGTTCCTTTTCCAATCCTATATGAAAATGCCTTAAACCTCCACTTCACATAGAAATTGGCAAACGAACTATGCAGTTTTTTATTTGGAATTCTGTGTGATATATTTAAAAATTATCACAGAGTAGCCGGCCTGGTGGCCTAGTGATTGGGTTCACGCACTCTGCTTTGGTGGCCCAGGGTTCGCAGGTTCGGGTCCTGGGTGCGTACGTACGCACCGCTTATCAAGCCATGCTGTGGCAGGCTTCCCACATATAAAGAAGAAGAAGATGGGCAGAGGTGTTAGCCCAGGGCCAATCTTCCTCAGCAAAAGAGAGGAAGATTGGGAACAGATGTTAGCTCAGGGCTAATCTTCCTCACGGGAAAAAAAAAAAAATCACGGAGTCTTCGTGTGCTTTCATTTATATCTTATTTAGGTGTTTTCTCTTTATGCCTATTTTTAGTCATTTCCTTCTACAGACGATGATATTGAAGGTTCTGTGTGAATATTCACAGCTAAAACTACCGGTTGAAGCAGTATTTGAGAAGAAATGCATGACGCTGGTCAACAAGTTGGAGTTTTAGTCTTCCATGTTGGAGTATAGGAAAGTCTAGGCCAAAAGATTTTCTGCATTTCTCCCCTAGAGGCCTGGGTAAAAGGAGGAAACAGCCTCCTCTGATCATCTTCCATCTGCTGAGCTTGTCTTTGGTCCCATTCCCATCCCCAAATGGCTTGTCAACATGATGAGACTAAAGCACATCCTGTTATACTCAAAATGCCATAATCCATGCCTTGCTCCCACCACTTAGACTCTTGGAATTGAAAGCTGAGCTGAACTGGGAAGCCTGCTGGTAAATAAATTATAGTAGGAAATTAGTGAGTGACTTTGGGGTCCAAAAGAGGACTCTTTTTTTGTGTATATATCTTCATTTTAATCTCTTCTCCATTAATCTGAGTCCAACATCCTTTCCTTTAATTCAATATATCATGTTAAATGGTTGGGGATGAAGTTAAACTTCGGTTGCACAATGCAGCCTGTTGTTCTGACAAGAACAGGATCCGAAGACAAAAGGACGGGAGGGAGTGAATGAGAAAACAGTTGCAAAAGACCAGTTGAGAAATGTAACCTTTGAATCTATTTTAGATCATCTACAGTGGAAACAAAACGCATGTCTGTATAAATAGTTAGCAATTTGTTTACTCTTGGAAAATCCCAAGCCTGTAATGCAATGATAAGTAATGTGAGCTTTTGAGGCTGGGTAGTAAATGTGTTTACAGCCGCCTCTATAGAGGATGGGATGTCAAAAGTCCTATTAGAACACATTCCACGTGAATCTCTGACTGCCAATGATTGTGGTTGTAACTTTACAAAATTTTAGACATATATCCATATATGAATTGGCAATTTCTGGAAGTTGATGATTTTATCAGCAGTTTCTTTTGAAAGACTTTGTCTCTTCCCTGAAATAGTTTTATCTTCATGAATAATCAGTTCAGGCTTTTTGAAGGATCTAGCTACTCCCACCATCTACACCCTCAGTATTTATTCTTAATTCGTTAAAAAATATTTATTAAGCATTGACTTTATGTTGGCAACAAACTAGGCTCAGCTGCTTTCTAGTGTAAACTTCTGCCCTCAAGGAGCTTACATTCTCATGGGAGAGACATTCAATATTCAAATGAATAAATAAATCTAGACATAATGAAAAACACTGAAAATGCTTTGAAAAAAATAAATAAAGCAGCAAAGGGGATAAAGAGTGTAGAAGTGCCATTTTATAAAAGCATGTTTGGGGAAAGGACATACTGAGTCGGGGATATTTATGCAGAGATGTGAGTGAAGGGAAGGAAGGAGCCATGAGGGTCTCTATGTTTCATGTAGAGGAAGCAGTAAGTGCAAGGCCTTGAGCTAGGAAGGGGTTGGGCAAGTTTGAAGCATAACAGGAAGGCCAATGTGGCTGGAGGCAAGGAGAGAGAAGAAAAGTAGAAAGAGGTGAGGTCAGAGAAGAAGCCAGCCAGACTATGGAGAGCATTGTGGGATACCTAAGGAGATTGGATTTCACACTACTGAGATACGAAGTTTGAGCAGATGCATAAGATAATCTCAGTTATGTTTCAAAGGGTCACTCTGGCCGCTGGGTGGCACACAGCTTGTAAAAGCATATGAGTGGATGCAAGGCCACCAGACAGTGGCATTTTCTAGGGTAGAGAGGATGATAGCACTGCCCAAGGAAGGAGCAATGAAGATGCTAAGAATGGTCAGATTGAGGAAAATTTTCCAGGGAAAGTCAACAGGATTTGCTCCTAAAGTGTATGTGAGATTTAAGAAAAAGAAGAGTCAAGAATAACTCCAAGGTTTTTGGCCGAAGCTAGTGGGAGAATGGCGGGGAAAGGAGGAAGGCTAGAGGAAGAGCAGGTTTACGAGGGCTGGAAATCAAGGGCGCAATTTTGAATTTGTTGGGTTTGAGTTGCCTGTTAGACATCCAAGGGGTGATTTCCATTTAGGTAGATGGATATAAAAGCTTGAGTTCAAGGAAAGTTTTGGAGCTGGAGATAGAAATTTGGGAGTCATAGCCATTATATTGTTATCTACAACACTTTGAGCCCCTTGACCCCACAGACTACCATGGAACTTGGGGCAAAAATGGATTATGAAAGAATAAGAAGGCAGAAAAAAATGATCTTAAATTTTTTTAATCACCATCCAGTGCTCAGTCTACTAAGCCATTTTTTCTCCCCTCTTCAAGAACATGGTTTAATTTTCAACAAGTGTTTTTGAGGTTTTGAGGGTTTTTTTCCTTGGTTTATACATTTGTTGGTATAAAACTCAAAGAACAAATCACAAAAGAAAATACAATATCTTAGGGATTGCTGTTCTGTAATAAAGTTGTTGGTAGCGTAGGGATTTATTAAAAAGAGTAAAAGAACTTTCAAGATTTTTTAAAAATCCATTTTATCTTACAGCAAAAACACCTCTGTTTGTAAGGTCACCAAGCCTTACAGAGAAAGTGACTAGCAAGGTCTCTACCACATTCTTCTGTCTTTGCCTGAAAACCAGAGTCACTGTATCTTTACCTCAGATCAAGGCCTTCCTAGTACCCAAATCAATCTTCAAGACAACAGTTATGCCTGGAACCTCAGTCCAGCCATACAAAGGAGCTTGTATCAAAAGGGCCAGTCTTGCTCTCTGGTGCGCCAGTATACCAAGGGCTAGGATGAATCCCAGATATGTACACCCTTTCCTGTCTGACCCAGTGTGTGCAACCAGGCCTCTCCCTCAGTTTCCTTTCCCAGTACACAGATTCCTAACCCTACTTTGAATCCCAGATAACTTGGCTGGTGTTCCAGAATTATATTCAGCACTGTAGTTTTTCAAGCATCATTGCGTACCTAATCTGCTTTGAGACTCACAATACCTTGAGAGGTATTATTACTTTCACAGTCACATAGGTAAGACTAGAAATGTACATGAACGTGTACAGAGAGGACAATCAATGCTAACTAATTGCCAAGTGAGTGGCATGGACCACATATGCTAGAAGAACCCAAATAAGGAAAATGTGGCAAGAGGGAAGGAAAGAGGAAAGGAGTCTTGGATTTACCTTCCTACAAATGAACTTGAAATTCAGTTCTGTTATTTTCATAACATTAATACTCTAATTGGGTAGGTTTAACTGCCAAGACTTCCTTCCACCTTTCCATAAACACAACCACATAATCTCTCTCAATCTCTCTCTCTCTCTCTCTCCCTTTCTCTCTCTCTCCCCCTCCCTCCCCCT